GCGCGAGGACAGCGCCCTGAGCGCCTTCCTTGCGGAGTTGAGTCGCGCACCGCGTCGAGCGCCCGCGCCACCCCCGGACCCCGGGAGCGCCGCGCGCAACAAGCGCAGCCACCGCGGGGAGCCCTCGCAGCACATCCGCGCCGAGAGCCACGACATGCTGATGATGATGACCTACTCCATGGTGCCGGTAGGCGGGGGCTGGACTCCCTGTGGCGCCCCCGTCAGGATGGGCAGCCGGCAGTGCAGGGAGAGAGCCCCGAACGTCCTCTCCTTCCCTCGCCAGACGGCGAGGTGCCGTGGGGAGAGGCCCTGGGTGTGAGTCCAGCTGGGGAGGTCACCTTGGCGAGCACCTTAGCCCTCTAGGGTCAGTTTCTTCGTCTGCTAAGTGGGGGAGGGGTGAAGGGGTAAGTCTTCCACCTCTGACGTCGTTCATCTGCAGATAAATGAGGGGAGTAGGCAGTGTTTTTAAGAGCCTGCTTCCTAACTTTGGACACAAGTTTTCACCTCCTGGTGTGACAGGAGCCACAGCGATCCCTGGTCTCTGCTTGCGCGATTGATAGGGGCCCCCTGAGAACACAGAGGTAACATTTCTGAAAGAGCACAGGCTTCTTCAATAAACGGATTCTTTCCCTGGCATAATCTAGTAGTCTGGCTTTTCATATGGCCTCAGCCCAGCCCCAGGAGACTGCCCACCTAAAGTTTTGGTGTAAGTAAAGACAGTCAGCCCTAATTTTAACAATCCCCGGATCTTTTTTTGCGGAGGAAGTTACTCGAATCTAAACCGGTTACAAATGGGAGAAATCAGCATAGAGCAATTTTCTTTAAGTGCAGTGTCAAAGCTGAGGTTCTTCCTACCGGCTCCAAGAAGTCTGTGTGACTCTAGAAAATGTCAATGTGTTTTCTCACAGGCGCGTGCGTCTGGGGAGAGTCCATAGCTTTTCAATAGATTTTCAAAGGAACTCCATTGTACTCCCCCCACCCCCCAAAATTTAAGAAACACTGATCTAAAGGACGTCTTCAAAGCAAAGGCTCAAAAATCTTTTTTCTAGTTTCGACTTTCTCTGCTTTTGCTGATTTTAACTCAGTAACTATCTAAACAATTACATTTAGATCACATTATAGTTGCCTATTCCATTTCATTATCCATTACAACCACCATGGGCTTATTTCACTTTAAAATTACAAAGATTTCAGTTCCATCACCTCTAGTCAAGTGTGAGCTGTATACTTCAAGATCCTAGGTTCTGGAAGATAAATCCACTTATCCTGTTACCATAGAAGCTTTTAACTATCTTACACGAGCTGAAGTGCTTTTGAAACTACGTGGAAGTACTACACATTTCAAACACATATTTTGAGAAAGATCACATTTTTCATCCCTGGATTCGTTTTTTTTATCCACGTTATGATTTAAAAATCTAAGCCCAAGCTAAAATTTCAAAAAGACTTCTGTAAAATGTAGAAATCTTCTTAGGGGAATTCACTCTTTCTCTTGGCTCTCCACCACGCATGTTGAGGGGGTTTTGAAACCCTCCAAGAGGGATGCATCTGAGCAACAATGTTTTATATTTTTAATCCTGCTTTTACAGTAGAGGCTTGTGTATCCAAATTGCAACCTGTTCAGTCACTAACTCAAGAGAACGCAACAGAGACTCACTTCTGTGTCAATCTGAAAGCTAGATTTAACTACCACCACCTGCTCTGTTGCAGGTCAAAGAGCGGAAACATTACATTCATCAGGCTGAGAAGCATTTGTAGATTATCCCCAACTCAACCCACTTGAAGCTGACCGTCATCAGGAAGGCATGCAGATTCTGATTCAGAAGGTCTAAGTTGGGGCCTGAGATTCTGCATTTGTAACAAGCTCCCACTGACATCAGTGTTACTGGTCTGAGAACCACTTTGAATTGCACTATTCTAGAGCAGTGGTTACACTGCTATATTCAGACTAATTTCAGCGTTTCAAAAAGTCTTCCAAAATGGCTCATTTACCCAAGATGAGCCTTCTCAAGCCAACCGATACTTCAGAGTTCTGTGCTTTTGGCTGAAAGTACATCAACTCAGCATGGTAATTCTGGTTAGCACATTCTGACCAGAAACTGGTTGGCAGCTAAAATTTTGTTAAAAGAAATTTTGTTAAAACATAACTAATTATTACTTAAGTACAGTTAGTTTGGTACAGCCAAACACATTAAATCTTTCAATGTAAGTGGGTACTTTAGAGAAAAGTTAACAAAAGAAAGCCCAGGTACCGCTGAATTAGACCACTAATGGAAACCCATCTGCCAGGAGCTCCTGCAGGTGATGCTGCTGCTTTTTAGTCTCCACTCCCTCCCCACCCTTCTTCTCACTCCTTCTCCCATCAGCTGCGCTCTCTCATCTCATTCTTCAAGTCTCACCCTTACGGATGTCCTGGTAGCTTTAGCCTACTGCCTGAGATCTCGGGTTGAGCACCCAGTAGGAAGAAAGTTTTACTTCTCACCATGTGCATCTTAACATGCTTTACATTGAAGATTTACATTTAAAAAGTGAAACTCTGAAACTGCTAGAAGAAAATACGAGTAAATTCATTTTTAATCTTGAAATGGGGAATACCTTTCTTTCAAACTGTAACTCAAAAGCTAGTTGCAAACAATAAATAAGTGAATTTAACCACATTTTAAAAACCCACACAACCACAGCAAAACTTTTGGCAAATAACAAACAAAAAAAAATACCATAAATAAAGGCAAAAGATAAATGACAAACTGGAAAGAAATAATTGCAGCTCATGTCATAGGTAAAGGGCTAATCTTCTGAATATATATGTAGCACTCCTAGTAGTTGATTTAAAAAAAATTTAATAGGGAAATCTGCAACAGAAATAGGAATCTGACAGGAATATGGAATGGAGAGTTCTCAGGGAAAAAATTACAAATTTCTCTTAAACATGTAAGAGAAGAATCCTTGGTTTAAAAATGCAAATTACAACTGCTCTGAAATAATTTTCACCTGTCAGAATGACAAAACTTTGAAAGTTTGACAACATCCTGTTGCGGAAGCTGGAGGGAAATAGACACGCTCTTGCATTGCTGTTTGGAGTACAAAATGGTACAACCTAAATTTAAGGCAATTTGGGAATGCCCCGAAAGACTACCAGTACATTTACCCTCTGACCCAGTAATCTCTTTTGTGGGAATTTGTCCTGCACAACAGACTGTATCACCTATGAAATGACATATGCACATATAGTCATTCATTGCAGAGTGTTTGTAAAAGCAAAAGACTATTAACAACCCATGTCCATCGGTACAGGACTAGTTAAGTAAACTGACCTACACACCCACTGAGATACCAGATAAAACAAGAATGAGTGAATTCTTTATGTATGGCTGTTAGAACAATCCCCAGGATATATTTTAAGTGATTAAAAACGAGTCACAGAAAAACATATATTGTATTACCTTGCATAAGGAAGAAGGGGGAAAAAAATAAGTGAAACTAACGAAAGTGCTTACTTAGGGAGGGTGGGTATAAGGTGGAAATTAGCCTTTCCCTGCATAGCTTTGTATCTTATTTTGACTTTTGAACCATGTGACTGCGTTACTCTTATTGTATGGAAAGGCCATAAGCACAAGGTTTCATGGCAGCTGCCACCAGGCTAGGGGGCCGTAGGGCACAGGCGGGACTGTGCCAGCCTGAGGTTCATGTGTTCTTTCTGAAGGGGAGGCTTTAGCTGATGGTTGCTGCACAAGAACGAGAACCCTCTACCTGATCATTTGATTTTGTCAAGAGAAGTCAAAAAACCTGACTTTTTATGTGAAATTTCTTGGCTTTTAAGTATTGACAAAAATTCCGCCAAAATGCTTTTTAATTGGCTGACAGTGTGTTGGCCAAACAACACTCACATTATGAGAGGCCACGCTAGGACTTCCAAGCTTAGTTTGCAGCAAGCTTCTCATAATCATGAGTGGTTTCGAACCAAAAATAGCTTTACTTAGTTCCACCACAGCCCCGCCCCACTGATTTTCCCAGCCAGTTCTGAAAAGACAGTATTATTTGTGCCATTGTTACCAATGTGGGTTAAGTGGAGATGGTCTTCTGCTGTTGGTTTGGTTTGGGTTTCATTTTGTTTGTTTTTGGCTGTTTCTAAACATCAACTCCACCTTCCATGGCT